ATTAGAGATGAGCGAATCGAACATGGCGAAGTGGAATTCGTTGTTTCGAATATTGGGAAATATTTGATTCGCGCCGAATCCGAAAATTAGCCAACTTCGGATGCACGAATCGAATTTTCCCAAAAATGGCGGCGACATGTGTGGCGACGGAGCGGGGATCTCTGGAAGGCGCGCAGACAAGGCGCGCTGACCCATAATGCATTCATTCATGACATGTGATCGCATTAGCCAATCAGCAGCCAGCCAGCCAGCACTGTGTAATGGTGGAGCTATAAATTGCGGCCGTCTTACAATTCTCCATTAGCCTGCGGTCATTCAAGAGAGACAGACCTGTCTGTATTAGGGACAGAGTTAGGGCCAGAAAGACTTTAGGGCCACAGAATCGTTACTCAGGGACACAGAATTTTTAATCAGGGACACAGAATAGTTACTCAGGGACAGACACAGAATTGTTACTCAGGGACACAGAATTGTTACTCAGGGACACAGAATTGTTACTCAGGGACACAGAATTGTTACTCAGGGACAGACACAGAATTGTTACTCAGGGACAGACACAGAATTGTTACTCAGGGAAACAGAATTGTTACTCAGGGACACAGAATTGTTACTCAGGGACAGACACAGAATTGTTACTCAGGGACACAGAATTGTTACTGAGGGACAGACACAGAATTGTTACTGAGGGACACAGAATTGTTACTGAGGGACACAGAATTGTTACTCAGGGACACAGAATTGTTACTGAGGGACACAGAATTGTTACTCAGGGACACAGAATTGTTACTCAGGACAGACACAGAATTGTTACTGAGGGACACAGAATTGTTACTGAGGGACACAGAATTGTTACTCAGGGACACAGAATTGTTACTCAGGGACACAGAATTGTTACTCAGGGACAGACACAGAATTGTTACTGAGGGATACAGAATTGTTACTGAGGGACACAGAATTGTTACTGAGGGACACAGAATTGTTACTCAGGGACAGACACAGAATTGTTACTGAGGGACACAGAATTGTTACTGAGGGACACAAATTGTTACTGAGGGACACAGAATTGTTACTGAGGGACACAGAATTGTTACTCAGGGACACAGAATTGTTACTCAGGGACACAGAATTGTTACTCAGGGACACAGAATTGTTACTGAGGGACAGACACAGAATTGTTACTGAGGGACACAGAATTGTTACTCAGGGACACAGAATTGTTACTCAGGGACACAGAATTGTTACTCAGGGACAGACACAGAATTGTTACTGAGGGACACAGAATTGTTACTGAGGGACACAGAATTGTTACTCAGGGACACAGAATTGTTACTGAGGGATACAGAATTGTTACTGAGGGACACAGAATTGTTACTGAGGGACACAGAATTGTTACTCAGGGACACAGAATTGTTACTCAGGGACACATAATTGTTACTCAGGGACACAGAATTGTTACTGAGGGACACAGAATTGTTACTCAGGGACAGACACAGAATTGTTACTGAGGGACACAGAATTGTTACTGAGGGACACAGAATTGTTACTCAGGGACACAGAATTGTTACTCAGGGGACAGACACAGAATTGTTACTGAGGGACACAGAATTGTTACTGAGGGGACACAGAATTGTTAATGAGGGACACAGAATTGTTACTCAGGGACAGACACAGAATTGTTACTGAGGGACACAGAATTGTTACTGAGGGACACAGAATTGTTACTCAGGGACAGACACAGAATTGTTACTCAGGGACACAGAATTGTTACTCAGGGACACAGAATTGTTACTCAGGGACACAGAATTGTTATTCAGGGACACAGAATTGTTACTGAGGGACACAGAATTGTTACTCAGGGACAGACACAGAATTGTTACTCAGGGACACAGAATTGTTACTCAGGGACACAGAATTGTTACTCAGGGACACAGAATCGTTACTCAGGGACACAGAATCGTTTTATCAGGGACACAGAATCGTTACTCAGGGACACAGAATCGTTACTGAGGGACACAGAATTGTTACTCAGGGACACAGAATCGTTACTCAGGGACACAGAATCGTTGAATTAAAGAGTATGTCAGACAACACGCAGAGGAGTGGCAGAGGAGGCAATGTTTCAGGAGCGAGCAGCAGAGGTGGCAGCAGAGGAAGGGGTCGAGGCAGCACTAGTGGCAGCCAGAGGCCAGTGCTCCCGGTGTCATCCAGCGGTCGTGTCTCCACCGACAACCCTGCCGTCATCGATTGGTTGGCTCGGTCGTCTTCCTCTTCCCAGGTCACCTCTGACACCTACAGCCAACGGTCGGTGGGTACGTCAGACACAACCGTTAGTTGGCATGGCCCGGGAGCAAGCCCACTGAAATCACGTGTCCTCTACCTGCCCCTGTCCTTTGGTTTTCCCTCACCAAGCGAAGTATCGCATGCTGTGGGCTCAGCCCCACTGTACAGTGAGGAAGAGCTAACAGAGGGCGGTCAGGAACGGGGGGAGACATCCGCCTCTTCAGCAGCCAGGCGAAGAAGTACTGGCGAGGAGAGTGGCTCGGTAGCCGGTCTAGAGACAGGTCTGTCTCCTGACCCACACGCAGCCGAGGGGGCTAGTAGTGAGGCGGAGACCCTAATTGATGATGATGAGGCTGATCGCACTTGGCAGCCTCGTCGTCATCTGCCAGGCCCGTAATCTGCCATGGGCCCCCGTACCGACTCCTCATGCTGCTGCCAGGCCCGTAAGCTGTCATGGGCCCCTGTACCGCCTCCTCATGCTGCTGCCAGGTCCAGAGTGTGTCATGGGTCCCTGTACGGCCTCCCATTGCTGCTGTCTCCATCGCCACACTCTGCCATGTGCCACTTTCAGGTCTCCTCACACTGCTTTTGGGTTCCATTTTGTCATAGGGTGCTGGCAGATTACGGGCCTCCCATTGCTGCTGCCAGGCCCGTAATCTGCCATGGGCCCCCGTACCGACTCCTCATGCTGTGACGTTGCAACAAGGTGGAATTCAACCCTACATATGTTAGACCGCCTTTACGAACAGCGAAAGGCCATCACCGATTTCCTGATGTTACAAGCGGATAAAGGTACTCCCCTGTGTAACTTAGATGTCAGCCATTGGCAGCTCATGCGTGACACCTGCCGCTTGCTCAGGCCCTTTGAGGAGGCCACGCTATTCGTGAGTCGGCAGGACTATGGGATGAACGACGTCATTCCTCTGTTGCACGTCCTGGAACAAATGCTGTTAACAATGGCTGGTCAGGGTGCGGTAGACGTGGCGCACAGATCTCAACGCCACATGACCCCTGTGGGGGCAGGACAGGAAGAAGAGGAGGAGGTAGAGGAGGACATTGGTGCTCAGGAATTATTGAGTGAAATGGGTGGTTTTTCCACTCAGCGGACAGGAGTGGAGGAGCAGGAGCATCTGGTAGAGGAGGAGGAGGAGGAGACAGAGGACCCAGACGCACCGTGGCAGTATGCTGTGGAGATGGAGGCAGGGAGTCCCTCGCATTCCTTGGCACAAATGGCCCATAGCATGCTCAGTTGCTTGCGTAGCGACAGCCGAATAATAACCATCAGACAGAGGGATGACTTTTGGCTGTCCACCTTGTTGGACCCTCGCTACCGTTCAAAAATGGTGGCCGTTTTCACACCTGCTGAGAGGGAGGCCAAAATAACGTACTATAAAAACCACCTATGTAGTCAGTTGGTCTCTGCCTTTCTGTGCCAACGTCCATCCTCAGACACTGTGGGCCCTGTGCGCTCGCGTTCCGCTGCCATGGCAGCAGGGGAGGGGTGGGGTGGTAGGAGCAGTGGCAGCTCCACCAGCAGTGGCTGCCTCAGTCTGCAGTCGATGATGAGTAGCTTTCTTCACCAGCGCAGTGAGGAAACTACTAACCAGCCGCAGCAGCAGCAGCATCAGGTGGACCTGGAGCAGGAGCTCAAACAACAGGCTTGGGCCTACTTGGGACAGCACCCTGCCAACCGAGGTAGACAATCCCCTTGACTATGGGCAACGAAACTTGACCTTTGGCCCCAACTAGCTGAATTTGCCCTTGAAAGGCTGTCATGCCCGGCCAGTAGCGTGGCATCGGAGCGCGTGTTTAGTGCGGCAGGAGGTATTGTAACTCCGCGGAGGACACGACTGTCCACCCAAAGTGTGGAGAGACTCACGTTTGTGAAAATGAATCAGGCGTGGATTAGTCTGGATTTCAAACCACCAGTTCCTGACACAACTGACTAAATCCGCCATGAATCATGCCCCAAACATGTTATTATTTTTAACATAGGCCTCTGTATGGCCTTCAATTTAAGCTGCTTACGCTTCGTCACTCTGCCATGGGCCCCTGTACCGCCTCCTCTTGCTGCTGCCAGGTCCAGAGTGTCTCATGGGTCCCTGTACGGCCTCCCATTGCTGCTGTCTCCATCGCCACACTCTGCCATGTGCCACTTTCAGGTCTCCTCACACTGCTGGTGGGTTCCATTTTGTCATAGGGTGCTGGCAGATTACGGGCCTCCCATTGCTGCTGCCAGGCCCGTAATCTGCCATGGGCCCCCGTACCGCCTCCTCATGCTGCTGCCAGGTCCAGAGTGTCTCATGGGTCCCTGTACGGCCTCCCATTGCTGCTGTCTCCATCGCCACACTCTGCCATGTGCCACTTTCAGGTCTCCTCACACATGCTGGTGGGTTCCATTTTGTCATAGGGTGCTGGCAGATTTCGGGCCTCCCATTGCTGCTGCCAGGCCCGTAATCTGCCATGGGCCCCCGTACCGCCTCCTCATGCTGCTGCCAGGTCCAGAGTGTCTCATGGGTCCCTGTACGGCCTCCCATTGCTGCTGTCTCCATCACCACACTCTGCCATGTGCCACTTTCAGGCCTCCTCACACTGCTGGTGGGTTCCATTTTGTCATAGGGTGCTGGCAGATTACGGGCCCCATTGCTGCTGCCAGGCCCGTAATCTGCCATGGGCCCCTGTACCGACTCCTCATGCTGCTGCCAGGCCCGTAATCTGTCATGGGCCCCTGTACCGCCTCCTCATGCTGCTGCCAGGTCCAGAGTGTCTCATGGGTCCCTGTACGGCCTCCCATTGCTGCTGTCTCCATCGCCACACTCTGCCATGTGCCACTTTCAGGTCTCCTCACACTGCTGGTGGGTTCCATTTTGTCATAGGGTGCTGGCAGATTACGGGCCTCCCATTGCTGCTGCCAGGCCCGTAATCTGCCATGGGCCCCCGTACCGCCCTCCTCATGCTGCTGCCAGGTCCAGAGTCTCTCATGGGTCCCTGTACGGCCTCCCATTGCTGCTGTCTCCATCGCCACACTCTGCCATGTGCCACTTTCAGGTCTCCTCACACTGCTGGTGGGTTCCATTTTGTCATAGGGTGCTGGCAGATTACGGGCCTCCCATTGCTGCTGCCAGGCCCGTAATCTGCCATGGGCCCCCGTACCGCCTCCTCATGCTGCTGCCAGGTCCAGAGTGTCTCATGGGTCCCTGTACGGCCTCCCATTGCTGCTGTCTCCATCGCCACACTCTGCCATGTGCCACTTTCAGGTCTCCTCACACTGCTGGTGGGTTCCATTTTGTCATAGGGTGCTGGCAGATTACGGGCCTCCCATTGCTGCTGCCAGGCCCGTAATCTGCCATGGGCCCCCGTACCGACTCCTCATGCTGCTGCCAGGCCCGTAATCTGTCATGGGCCCCTGTACCACCTCCTCATGCTGCTGCCAGGTCCAGAGTGTCTCATGGGTCCCTGTACGGCCTCCCATTGCTGCTGTCTCCATCGCCACACTGTGCCATGTGCCACTTTCAGGTCTCCTCACACTGCTGGTGGGTTCCATTTTGTCATAGGGTGCTGGCAGATTACGGGCCTCCCATTGCTGCTGCCAGGCCCGTAATCTGCCATGGGCCCCTGTACCGCCTCCTCATGCTGCTGCCAGGCCCGTAATCTGTCATGGGTCCCTGTACGGCCTCCTATTGCTGCTGTCTCCATCGCCACACTCTGCCATGTGCCACTTTCAGGTCTCCTCACACTGCTGGTGGGTTCCATTTTGTCATAGGGTGCTGTATGGCCTCCCATTGCTGCTGCCTCCACCGCCACACTGTGGCTCCACACTCTGGTTTTGGCCCCGTGACTGCCCAAATGAGTGAAGTGTGCGGTGATTCTAAGATCGACGGCACTCATCTGCATGTCATACTGACTGACAGTATTATTTCTCTTCCCCAGCAGACTCCAAGGGCATTTAAATTAAAGGTACAGTGTTCTGCACTAATATAAAAGGCTCTCTGAAGCCTAGAAACACCCTTTTTATAAGTTAAATTCGCAGCGAATATATTCGACTCGAATCGAATTTATTCCGCGAATTCGCCGAATCAGCCGAATCGAATTTTTGAATACTTCGCTCATCTCTACTTACAATAAGACAACACTTGCTGCAGACACATGGAGGGAGCCAGACTCTGGAGAGAAAACATAAATAACATAAGAAGATTAAAAGAAACTTCAAAGATGGCTGTTTGCTGTCTCATTGTGGCTCCCATCCAGCAATGGAAAACCATATTGCTGGAAGCGTTTCAAATTACAAGCAGACTCTGGTGGAGCGGGGATCAGTCTTACCATGTTACCTTTGGAAAGAGCGAGACCATGATGGATACCAATTCTATCAATAGACAGCATAGCATTGTTTGCAAACTTCCGGTATGGTGAAGGATTGACATGCCAGTCACACCAATATTATTGGCATACACAGGTGGATTAAGTTTATGAGGCAATTCTGATATATGAATTTTCACTTCTGTACTTAACATTTGAGTGTGCACAATATTTTTGTGTATTACCCTGAAAATGTACCTTTTGTCTTATTCCTCCTGAAAAAAACCGAACTCTTCCTGTGAACTTTGGCACATTTGTGCATTCAGTCTCATAGCTGTATATCTGCAATTACCGATTCTTAGGAAATATGCTTATGACTACATAAAGAAGTGCAAGTGCAAGAATCTCCCTGATTATGCTTATCTCATTCTGTGGATCTGTGATTTCTAAACTGTTATTGCTTGTTCATTCCTCTATTAGCCATCAGATCACCAGTCACTAGAGGGGCAGATCTGACATGAGGAAACAAAGTCCTGTGCAGGGGCGGACTGACCATTTGGAAACTCGGGCTCTGCCTGAGGGCCCGGGGTTAGTAGGGGGTCCCATGAGATTCCCCTGGTACCTTTTTCATAGGCTTTTTTGAGTTTGGGCAAGGACACAGGGGCCCCATGATCCCCTATTGCCCGGGGGCCCCATGAGTTGTCAGTACGCCTCTGGTCCTGTGTATACCAATAAAGCCATTTTCACGCAGACACAGGCATGGTAAGTTAGTCCTGAGGAAAGACCAGCTGCAGGGACACTTCAGGCAATACTGGTGAGCAGTGTTTTGCATTCTATCAGCCTTTTTTGGTACAGTTTAAACAGTTAAGGTCCTCTTTGATAAATTATGACACAGAGGAAGTTTATTTTTTTTTAAGTGTTGCCTGATTCATAGATGGACATCGTGAGAGGCAGCAGTAAAGCAAAACTGTTGTGCAGCACTGTAAAGCTAAAATTATACCTTGTGTGTTTAATAATCACATATAAATGCACCATAGATACTTACAAACTTTACATAGAAAAAAAGTTTTTTTTAAAAACATTAGCACCCACTGGAAAATTGTTCACTTCAAGTTGAAATGCCCAATTTACATGTATACCTGAAAAAAACTTTGAACAAAAAATGCATTCCCTAATAAAACAACCTGAAAAAAAAGTCTCAGAAAATGTTGTAAAGCAATCATGTCAACAATGTAAAATGTGTCTTCTTGAAACTTAAATGAATTAATTTGGTGCATGCCACCTTTTTCTTATAAACATATTTTATTCTTGAGCTTTGTACTTTGTAGGCAGGTGCAGTCTACAGTACTTTTTCCACTGCAGTTGACGCTCAGTGGCATTGCAGGGGAGAGGAAGTCAGAAAGAACATTTTTCTGTATGGTTTCCTGGGTCACTGGGGAAGCTATTCAGTTGGATGCTGCTCCCCCATATGATCTACCAGCCATCTTGGGTCAGCAAAGTCTATTTAAGGTCCTGGCTCCAGGCTTGGTGTGCATTTCTGCAAGTGGGTAGTGCAGGAACAGGTCACCCATCTGACAGGGACAGTGAATAGGGAAAGGTTCCAGACAAGTAGGGAAAGGATAAGAATACACCATCCTTCCTGGAATTCTCCCATTTGAGTACAGACCGGCCAGGCATCTCTGCCCTCAGAGACAGACACTGTCAGCACATATGATACCTGCTCAATTCTACATTGCAGTTACATCTGTGAGTTCCCCATTGGGTGCTTTCCTGCTGGGTTATATAGAAAGTTTGAATTCTGAGTTTAATAAAAGCTCTGTTTACTGCAACTGAACACTGTGTTTTATTGCTGCCACACCACGGAAGCAGCTGTGGCAGTGATCCATTGTGGAGGGACCTAGAGGAAGACTGGAAGTGCTGGGGGTGAGGCCACTTTGGTCATGTAGCCAAGAACTTTGGTCAGCCTGAATTCAAAAGCACACCCAGGCCACCATTAAACTAGTGGCTCCTGAGGTAGAGGGACAATCCCCGGGACAGTCAATGCAAGGTTTCAGCAAACTGGAGTCTATGGTTGTGCCAAGCCCAGTGGTGTCCACCCTCGTCAATAACCAAGAGGTCTCATGATGATCGACACAGGCTCCGAGGCTACTGTCATGAAGTATGACTTTTATGCCCAGCAGTTCAGGATGGAAGAAGAACTGGACCTCTCATTGTTATCCCGCAAGGTAGCTAATAATTTACATATCATGGTAAATTATTTGGGCCTATGAGGCTCAACAAAGAGCAGCAAAAAAAGAGATTGAGCAAGTGGGGATTGTCTGCACACTTCCTAAACAAACATTTACTCCTGGCACCTCCCCAAGAAGTGGTCTGGCCATTACCCATCGGGGCTCACAATAGGCTGCAAGGGGCCACAGTAATGGAGGAATCCTGCAGTGGTGCAAGGGAAGTGGATGGTTGCTCACACCTTGTCCAAGATTCACAAAGGGAAAGACCTGGTACAGCTCATCAACCTGGGGACAACTCAGATATCACTCCCCAACCATGCCACCCTAGCAGACCTCTACGTGGTGCCTTGTCAGTGCATCTCAAAGGCCCAACCAGGGGTAGAAGCAGTATGTGCCCCTCTACAGGCAGCCATGGCTTTGTTAGATGAACCCAATACAAACTACTGCTGGAACAACTTTCCTTTACTACAACAACTGCTGGAGAAACATCCACTGGTCTTCACCACCAGCCTGGAAGACTACGGGTTCACCGAGGCCATCAATCACCTGATCCAGATGGGGGATACTCCACCCTTTCAGGAGAGTTCCCCCCAGCCCTGTCCCAAGAGGTAAAAGACTTGTTCCGCAACATACCACAGAGTGGAGTGATTTGGGACAGCCGTAACCCCTGGACTGCCCATGTGGTCTTGGTGCGAAAAAATATGAAAGCCTGTTATACCGTGTAGACTACCACAAACTAAGCATCTGTACACACTGGTATGCCTATCCATTGCCCAGGGTAGAGAATAACTTATGGCACTAGGCCAAGCCAAATGCTTCCCCACACTTGACCTGGCCACCGGTTACTAGCAAATCCCAGAAAGGGACCAAAATCATGAAATGACTGCCTTTATCACACTCCTGGGACAGTTCTAGTTTAACTGCATGCCCTTTGGGCTGAGTAATACCCCCAGCACTTTCCAACTTCTAATAAAGAGGCCTGGGAGACTTCAACTTTGAGACTGTCTTAGTCTACTTGGATGATATTATCATCATCTTCTCCAAAACCTTTCGAGGATCATGTAAGCACGGAGACCTGGTGTTCACCCATCTAACACAGTATGGGTTGAAACTCAGGCCCAGCAAATGTCATCTAATGTGACAGAAGATGCAGTACCTAGGGTACAACATGGAAGCTGGGGGGTCTCTCTGGACCTGGCCAAGATCCAGGCAGTGCGAGACTGGAATCCCCTAAAGACAGAGTCACTGAGCTCTGCTCTTTCCCAGGACTGTTGGGGTACTATCGTCGATTCATCCCGAGGTTCACTCAAGTAGCCCCTCCTCTTACCCAACTATTGAGTGGGCATGCTACCCAAAAGATAATTGGACCATCGACATCCATACAAGGCAAGGCCCCCAGCAACAGACCTTTGAAGCTCTGAAACAAAAGTTGGCTTTGGCACCTTTACTGGCCTTCTACATGTATATGGATGGGAGCTTACAAGGCTTGAAAACTGTCCTTGACCAGGTACAGGATGGTTGTGAACGAGTGATCGCCTATGCAGCTTACAACACACAGAGAAAAAGCCTCATACAATTTCTTCAAACTGGATGTTGCTGGCCCTATTTACTGAGAAGTTTGCGGAGTACCTCACTGGAGCAGATATTGAGGTCTTCACAGACAACAACCCCCTCGCTTAACTGCACAAAGCAAAACATGGAACACTGAAGCAACAATAGGCTGCATGTCTAGTGCGATTCAAATTCAAAGTCCACAACAGGCTGAGAAAGCTTAATGGGCATACTGATTCTCTGTCTCCCTATCCAGTGGTACACCCCATGAAAGATGTGGACTCTAGACAAGAGGATGTCAAGGTAGCCCCTGTCCTACCTATGCCAGCCTCATCGTACTCCCTCAAAGAACAAGTTACTGCCCCCCAGGTGATGGCTGCTGAAATTTATAATCAAGAGGCATGGGCACTGATCCAATAGAAGGATCCCAATCTCATGTGAGTAGAATGCTTCCTCTCACGGTGGCACAAGCCATCCTCCCACGAATGTCAGTTACTATCCAACACAGCTCGGGCGATCCTGAGGGAGTACAATCATCTTGAAACCTAGGACAAAGTGCTTTATTGGCAGGGGCGCATTCCAACTGAACAGTGAGACATCCTACAGGTGGTCCCCCAGTCACACATCCTACAAATCTGTACATTTTGCGGGTGGGCACTTCGGAGCTGGCAGAACTGAGTCTTTGGTCAGGAGACAT